TTGGAGTTTGAGTTTGTGAATATATGCGACATAAGCTGGATAACCTCTAAGGACTAGAGTAGCTTTACTCAAGAGCATATGTTTGTTGTTTTTTAGAAATGCACAAAGAATATCTTTAAGTTTACAAATAATACATGTATGAGTATGCCCTATAAAAACGAGTTATCTATTATTTATTTTATATTTGTTTAAAATTGTTTAAATTTTGTTTAAATTTTCTTATTTTGTGTAGTTTTTGTATAATTATAGAAAATCTAAAAAAAAATAATCTAAATTGAACTATTTTAAATTTGTAGATTTAAACAAAAAATATATATATTTTGTACAAAAATTACATAAATCTATATATTTAACCAAAAATCAAACAAAAATTTATAAACAATAACTAAACAAAAATTAAATATTATAATTATAAAGTCAATTTAAATAAAATAACTTATTATATTATTTTATTAAAACTACTACAGACATTGAACTTTCAAATAGTAAATATTGTATAGTCGCACTTCTGTATAAGCACCTTTCATATAAGCATACCATGAATATGCACATTCTCTATATAATAACAATTTTTATAAAGTTTTATGAGTTTCGATGGTGTGATTATTAGGAAATAGTACAAAATAAGATATAAACAAACTAAATTTATGATAATACGGTCGGTACTGTCTATATGCATATTGTCTAATTGTATATACTCTCTAAATAAATAAAAAAAATTGATTTTTCATTATTAGCACAAAAATAGTTCTTATAACTTAAATGCGTATACTATCTATATGAATAGAAAGTCTAACAGATTGCATGCAATTAGACAGTATCGACTGTACCTGAATGCTTTGTTTTTTTTTTTAATTCGAATCTATGTTGATAAGTGATACCAACAATACTCATATTATCCATGCCTACTAATATAATTTTCGAATGCCTTATATTAATCTATTTTAACTCCAATTTCACCTGAATAATAACTTAAACAAATATGTTTCAGTGGTATCGCCAATATTGATAGATTCTTAATGTCATATTCTTAATAATGTTCGAATATTTTGTGATCAGCTTTTTAATTTCGGTTTCATTAACTATTTAACATTATCTATATTAATAGATTTTTGATCTAAGTATTTTTATTTGTCTTTCTCAGCACTTATTTTCGACTCCAATTAAATGTAAATAACCTGTGTTAGCGGTTTTCTGATAATGAATGATTAAGCCCATTCATAATAATAACAAATATAACGTGTTTCAGATTTTTATGAAGCAAAATTAAAACTATTAATAAAGTGTTAGCAAATTAAACTATCGGATCAAAATGTAACTAAAAATTGAAATTACTACGTACCAAAAGTGTTTCTAACGATAATACATGCATTTAGATATAAGCTTTCAACCATAAATCCATCAAGAATATAACCACTTAAGTAATCAGTTATATGCGTATTGATACCGTTGTTGATTAAAGATCGGATGGCTATACACATGAGCACTATGCAATTTGTTATATAGGATAGAGGGATTCGCTAACATTTTAAAAATAATAATATATTAATGTGCATATTAGTAGATATTTAATTATCAATATTTTAATTTTTTTAAAATAGCTATTATGAATAACAATACAAATTAAAGCATTATACAAATTAATGCATCACTAATTTTAATGATAATTATCAAAGCTGAGATATTTTGTGAATAGCTAATTTCTGGTTAAAAATGAATAAGTTCTTGCAGTATACCAGTTAATTTCCTAAAAAATTACAAATATAATATTGATGTAAGTAGCAAAATTTTTTCATAAATACGAAAATTATAAAGTTATAAAGTTACCTTTATATATCATTTACTTCATTATCAACTATGTAATATAGATTGTCTACTTTAATGAATCCAACACAATGATCAATTGTTTTTACATCTATAAAATCATAACCCGAAAATTGACGAAAATATTTTAGCCCTGCTGAGTCTTCTATAACCGGTGACGTCCAATTTATACAAGCCAGCATATGATCTTCATTATTAAGTTTATATTTAAGATAATATTTAATATTGCCATAAAATGATTTCATTTCGAAAACTGGCACATGCTTTCGATTATTTGAATATTTGTCTATTTCCATATAGACCTAAATAATTAAGCATATTGGCTCATTAATTATAGGAAAATGTATTTTACACTCTGGTAAATAACAATAATACTTGATTTTTAAATCTATATATCATAGTGCATAATAAGTATGTATTATCTAGTAGCCCATTAATTGATTTAATCCAAAGGCATAAAAATACTAAATTGGGTAAGAATTAGATAACGATAATACCAATACATACCAGTACAGAATAATTTATACGTGCCCAATCTGAATTTCGTGTGATCCAACTAGATCCTATATAATATCCGTATTTGGTGCATAAACGACCAAATTTTTGTACTTGAGAAGTGAAAGACTAAAGAGAAATATTAATAATTGGCTTAAGAATGTTTTTTTTTAGAAAGAAATAATAATATACAAACCCGTAACTGATTTGATGTTACATTAAAGTTTGTTATGTAATGATTTTTTAATTTTTTAAGTTCTGCTTTACTAAGCATATACTGTGCCGTAGGGCCAAAAAATTGTTCTTCATATCTTTCTGCTGAGAAATGTATTTGATTTGAATTTACTGCTTCTTGCACAGGTAAAAATATTTTTTAATTAATTTGCTTGTAAAATTTTAAATGATTAAAAAGTTCAATCATATAAATATTATTAATAATATTTTTATACGGATGCAACCGTGACCTTGCAAGTGGTAATAACATGCTACAAACACGCTCAATTGGAAACTGCCATGTCGCCCAGCATGGACCATTTTTACGGATACTTGAAGATACGTGAAGTATATAATGTATACACATTTTCATAGCACTAAGGCGTTCACGTGAATTCTTATAGTACTCTCTAATAAGTATTAATTATATAATAATAAATTAATTGAAAAGATAATATAAAAGATTAATATAAATATTACCGTTCATAATGGGCATAAAACTTCAATAAAAGATCATTAATATCATTTAAGTCATCTGCAGATATAATTTTTTTTTGGCATAATCTTACTGCCTTTACAAAAAGATACCATCCATTATAGTATTTTAAAGGTAATCGCCCTTTAAGCAAAAGTAATGAGTACATCGTTATCCATGCAGCCCATTCTTCAGCCTTATATCCACGATGATATAACATTATATTACGTAACGGTCTTCCAAGGTTTGACGGCAAATCCTTACGAAATGCATGCATTTGTTTTCCAATATCAACCCAAACTGATTTTTTTAGTACATATGGCTCCTTATTTTGTAATTCATCTGAAAAGAAAGTTCCAGTCCAATGTTCAAACATATATTTAGCAATGTTTTCATAAAATAAGTGCATGATGTCTACAGTAAATGAGTCTGGAAAACGAATTGTTGATAAATCGAATAGAATACTACGTTTATTAATACCTATATAAATAATAACTTAATTAATGTTATTTAATATTAGGGATGTTGAGTAGTTCAAAGTATCTTTTGTATATTACTAATTTTGTAACTGATTAAATTTTTATTAACTATTAATTAAAATTATTTGTAAGAGTTACAAAATTAACAATGCACCAAAGGCTACTTTAAGCTACTTTGAACTACTTTAAACTACTTAACATCCTTATTTAATATTACCGTTAATCTTAATATAATACCGTAATTAGTAATTAATTCACTTCGTTCTTTTTCAGATTTTGCATCACGGATTTTCTTGAGCCTTTCCTTCCATTCCTCATGTGTTCGACTTGGGAGATTGGATGCATAATATCTTATAGTATTAACATTCGTAGGTGGTGTTGTAGGATAATAAATATGATTTGTACGAATGCCTTTTAAGTTACAATATCGGCATCCTCGATAGCTATTATGTCCAGTTAAGCACATTAATTTTGTTAACCCCGGAGTGTTACCTGACCAATTGACTACTACAGCACGAAGTATGAAAGATTCTTTTCGAATTGCATTATAACAGTTTATACCTTCTATTAGTTTGTTAACCGTTAATAAATATGAAATTAATTGTTTATAACAAGAATTACTATAAATATTTACCTTCTAAATTTTGTAACTCTTTTATCATGGGATAAAGAAATGTATTAAGGTTTTTTGGCTCTTTTGGCCCAGGTATAACAAGACTAATCAAAAGATTTTCTTTTTTAAATCTAATTTTGGGTGCCAAATTTGCATTAATTACTAACACTATCCAACAATCATCAGTTTTTTGCCTAAAGATTTGGTAACCGTCAAGTGAAACTACTAATGCTACATCACGTTCATCTTGAAAATAATCATTTTGCACTAATTCTTTGTAAAGAGTACCATCAAAAATATCTCCTATTTGATTATTAGTTTGCGTCACATAATTAGACCTATACCTCAATTCTGTTGCACGATCATAATCCCTATATTGAATAGAGAGACGTTGTCCAAGGGAAAAATATACAAACTGCCGTCGTGACTTTCTATTTTTTCCAAGATAATAGTATCGGTCTAATTTGCAAATTGGACATTTTGCTAATGTTTGATAATTTCCAGTATATGCACAGCAAGAATTAAAGCACATATCCGTCCATATAGGTTCAATATTTACAAACGACTTTAGTGTTTTTTTAACAAGATGCAAGCTAATTGATTTGGCATTAACCGCAATCATAGTTTGTCTAAATGCTTCATCAGTTAAATTGCATTGAATTTTTACTTTGAACAGCCTTAATGCGATAGCCAATTCCTCTGATATGTTATTGTCCAACTCTGTATCTAATATTTATGAACATAAAAAAATGTCAGTTTAAATGAATTCTGCCAAAAGAAAACCGTATATCTAAAATAAATTATTATGAATTCAATAATGATCTATTTCAGATATATGGGCTTTCCTTTGGCAGCACCCAAATATAACTTTAGTTAGCTAAAAAAATAAATATTTTTATTGTTATGTAATACCATTTTGTGAATAATCATCCTCTGAGTCAGAATAGTCATCTGATATTGTATTATAAGCAGAAAATTCATCCACTAAATAATTGTTCTCGGAATCAGAAAAATCATCTGATGTTGTATTATAAGTAAAAAATTCATCTTCTAAAAAACTTTCTGTATTACAGCTTTTTTGTGAAATTTCATTATCACTACTTGAAATTACTGAATCTTGAATTTCAGATGAACTTTCAGCATTAACATCCGGTAAAAATAAATCTTGAATTTCAGACGAATTTTGCATCTCTATGCCAGAGTCTAACCACGATAAATCTTGATCACAAACAGGTTCTAGTTCACTATAATTTATTAAAATTTATTAAAATAGATATTAATTTGTTTTTAGCGGTAAACCCTGCAGAGATTTACATACTGCAGCAAACTTTAAC